TTTTGCTCCAACAAGAGCATTTCAGTGTTGAAGTGACTATAATGTACATCTCTGCACGTCTCTTTTCCTTGGTCAGTATGGGAAAAAATAACGGTGGTTTGCTAGCTTCTTCAGGTGAATGGCTGCCAATCAAACCTGAAGAGTAGCCTGGAGACCACATAAAGCGCTTGACGTATATACAAACACGCACAGAGACATGCATTTTGGGATTACACTATGTCTATCAGTCATATGAAACATATACCGATATACAGCTAATATTTACTGCTTACTGTTTGCCTAGTACGGCTCGATGTATAGATTTTGGGGTGGATTTCAGGCGATAAACTCCTGGAGTCTTCTTCACGKGTGTCATTTTGATGRMACGCATTGAGGTGACACTTTCAATCCATGKTGTGGCTTCGAATTGGAAGAAGTAATCTCCTGGCCTGTCACTTTCCTTGAACCAAAGAAGGGAAGCTTGGTTGTCAGGCAGAAATGCTTGTATTCACCCCACGAGGATTCTTGGGTCATTCACGGTACTTGACTCCTCAACCAGTCCCACAAAATCTCCTGTTTCAAATTCTCCCTGTTGAAAGTTACCAGTATGCTGAAGATCTTCCCCTGCGAACTGAGGCGAGAGAAAGTGCCAACGTCTTTCTTTCGTTTGTGTTGCGTTTGTCGTAGGTGAGCTGAGCGTGCCGTCGTGAATGGCGCAATGCTGAAGCAAGAGAGTCTTTGATGCTATCTGTGCAGCTACTACAAGGATAAAAAATTAACAAACAAGAAATCAGTCATTACCAAAGCTTTTAATCTTTCATAAGTCTGTATGCACAATATAAATCGCCAAGAAAAGGTCAAAGTGTTAAGTTTAACACTGACTGTGTTTTGGCATTGAGGTATTGAAGTCAAACATGGTCGTGTGAAGTGTCACGCAACAACAACTTGGAGTGAAATTCCTCGCAAGCAAAAGGCTTTCTTGTAGTTTTTCTTTAACTTTCATTTAGCTTCAAGACAATAAAACACTCCTACTTCACCAAAAGTCTAAAGATATTTTTTGACTTTGATCTAACTTCCACACAATCACAATCAAATTTACCCAGAAATTTCAAAATTCATTTCAAAATTATATATCAAATCAACGATTCAAAGTGCATTTTTTNATAAATTCTCAATCATATTGTTCCTTTTCAGTTGACATTGTGATAACTTTGTCCAGAATATTGTGTGACAACTTTTGCAAAACAATGAAAATCTTTGCGTTGTATAGTTGTTTGTATATTTTAAAATAATATGAAAATTGTACTTGACATCCTTAGCCAACAAAAGATGTAAATATAAGTCTTGAGAACATAGAAACAAAAACATTAAGCAAACAGCCTCAGCAACAAAAACAATTCCTTTTAAAATTTGTACCTTGCTTCACTGAGTGTCTCAAAGCAGACGCGAGGCTTTCTTTCATACTGTCTGAGCAATTCCTGTAAAAACAAACATTAATGAAATTCAGTGCATTCAAGTTTGTGTCATCAGAATGTAGAGTACAAACACATGAAGCGTGCAACACTTTCCACTATTTACTACAAAATAGTGCTAAATTAAACAATAGAATTGGCATAATTTAGCAGTATTTATGTTTAAGTGGAGAAAACTGGATAGGATTAAAATAAAGTTCATAATTAAAACTTTTAAAATATGATAGACTAATAAAACTAGATAGGAGCTCAATGAATTCCATCATTGATATTGCTCTAGGATGCAATGCCTATACGCAATTTGTCGACTTACTCTTGTGAATAGGCGTACGTAATGAAGGCTGACCTCAGGCAGTTCACTGATATTTGCTTTCCTGTCAACCTTTCGAAAAGCAATTGGAGATGTCTGGTGTAGGATGATGGAGAGAACATGCTCCCAAATGAATTCTAGACAAGTAGAGATTGGAGCGGAATTAAAATAACATCCATGCATTGCTACTGTTTCAAACAAAGGTACATATCAGTTTGGGTTAGGGTGAATGACAGCTAAGAATCACCCTCGATGAATGGATAATTGTCAAAATTAACCCTGTCAAGATGAATTTTTTGCTCAAATCACCCTAGTTGGATTATTTTGTTTTAACACTATTCACTATTCACCCTGAGTCCTGGCTAAAAAGATGAGTATTTCCTTGCATTTACCCGAATAGAATGATTTATTTTGCAAGATAACCTTCCGGAAAACTGGCCATAACCATATGCTCTGTTCCTAAATTAGGCTGACCTCTTTTTCTATCAGACAACCACAAATTTTAAGAAATGCTCACCCCCAGCTAGGATGAGAATTGCATCTGAAAATGAAACAGTCCTTAAATTCACCCTGCGGGACCCATGACTCTCTCCCCAAGTTATGCAATCATTTACTAGGCTAATCTTCTTACCACAAAAATGTTATCAGCATCCTTTGTAGCCAGCCTCTCTCTATGATTTTTCAAGTAGTCACTGATAATTCTGTAAAGCTCCGTTTCCATCTAGAAGCAGGATCACGATTCAGTTTATAATCACGACAAGTCTTATAAGTTACATAATACACATTTATGCTACTAACTAACATCACTATAAAAGTTTGATTTTTCAAACAATTAATGAAATCATTCATTTCAACACAGGCTATTCAAATTATTTGGTAAATGATTAAGTGAACAACAATGGCGCTTTGCCTTCCTTATTTTAAATATACAGGCTATAAATTTAACAAGATATAGTACTAATTAATTTCATTTTTAAAAATATAACTTTTCTAACTTTAGAGTGCTCGCACTAAATGCGTGAAATATAAATACTACAAAATAGGTGATAAATTATACAAATTCCTTTGTTTCCTATTGTATAATCAACACTATTTATTAGTAATTATTACTGTTTGTTTCACGCTTTAAGTGCGAGCACTCCACCAGAGGACTTAAGAAATTTTAATAAAAATCCAACTTTTAGAGTGACATGTACCCATTTGTATCCATCAACTTATATAAACATTATTCGATTGCTAGTCGTTCCACCCCAACAAGAACAGCCGTATAGCATACCTTGATCTCCACACGGTCATGGCCTCTAAACTTAGCTGTCTTGTAACTTTGCAGGTGCAAGACTAKTCCGCTTGGAGTGCAGGCCAGTACGTTTTGCTTGGCATAATCTTTCTTTAGGTCAATGGCAGCTCCAGCTATTTCCTCGTCAAAGAAGATTAAAGTTCYAATCTCTTGGCCTCTAGAAGGCGGAAGATGAACATACAAACCCAATAACACTAGATCCATCCATTCTTTTGACTGTTGGAGACMACGAGAAACTTCGCATCTCTGCCGCTGGAGAGTAAGTGCTTCCAATATTTCCTGCCTAGAATTTTCAGTCGAAAAAATAATGATAAACAAACGAAATGCTGTCTGACGATTGCGTAGCACGAAACTCGGAGTAACAGCAAATCTTTTTGATACTAGTAAACAAACTAGAACGATCGTCAATGACACAGACGCCATTTTCTTCTTGAAAGGAGATACCGCTGACAAGTTAARCTACAGTCCAGTCTGTAACCGTAATCGTACTAGCATGTGGGTGTATATGAGCTGTATGCGCAGACTCCCAGGGAAACAGAGAAATAACAGCCAAAAAAGAAAGAAAGATAAACAAGACTTACCACGAAAGCCATTTTCCTGCTGCTTCTAAGTCTTCCGTGGTCTTGGGCCGACTCGTTTCGCCTTCACGTTGAAGCTCGGTCTGGACTCTTCTAAGCTTAAGGATAAAAGGCACGTCGTACTTCGGTGCACAACCCCGGTGCAAATACTTGA